AGTCGTGCCCCTCCTCGTCGTCATTACCACCACCATCATCCCCATGATCCCTCCCCTCCTCATCACCATCCTCCTCCACATATTAAACGATTCACTCGCTCACCCAGTCAATCATTATTATCCTACCCGTCCTGCTGGAAAATGTTGCTGCCGCCCTGGGCCCTGAACTCCAGAGGTCCAGGAGGCCTCCAGAGGCCCGGCAAGGGCCAAGAACGTCCGAAAACCTCGACCCTCGAGGGTCGAGGGCAAAAAATGTTACACTTGCTCGTGCCCCCCCCCTTGCATCCAGTTTCCTCTCCCACTCGTCCCCCTCCTCCTCGTCCTGATCCTGCTCGTCCTACTTGTCCCCTCTCACGCCTGTCCTGCTGCGCCCCCTTTGCGCCCCAGGACGTGGTGGCCCCGGCCCCAGCGTCCGCGGGACCGGCCCGCCTGGCCGGAAGAAGGGGGAGAAGGAGGAGGAGGAGAAGGAAGAGGAGGAGAAGGAGGAGGAGGAGGAGGGGGAAGGAGACAAACAAGGAGGAGGACGAGGAGGAGAGAGAGAGGGAGAGGGAGGGAGAGGGGGAAAGAGAGAGAGAGAGAAGGAGAGGAGGAGGAGGAGGAGGAGGAGGAGGAGGAGGAGGAGGAGGAGGAGAAAAAAGAAGAAGAAGAAGAAGAAGAGGAGGAGGAGGAGGAGGAGGAGGAGGGGGAGGGGAGGAGGAGGAGGAGGAGGAGGAGGAGGAAGGAGGAGGAGGGAGGATGAGGAGGAGGAGGAGGAGGAGAGGAGGAGGAGGAGGGAGGAGGAGGAGGAGGAGGAGGAGGAGGAGGAGGAGGAGGAGGAGGAGGAGGGGAGGAGGAGGAGGAGGAGGAGGAGGAGGAGCAGGAGCAGGAGCAGGAGCAGGAGCAGGAGCAGGAGCAGGAGCAGGAGGAGGAGGAGGAGGAGGAGGAGGAGGAGGAGGAGAGAGGGAGGGAAAGGGAGAAAGAGGAGGCGAGAGAGAGAGAGAGGAGGGGGAAGGAGACGAACGAGGAGGAGAAGGAGGAGGAGAGAGAGAGGGAGACAGATGCGTGCCACTTCGGGCGAGGTTCGTGCAGGCCCCGAGGCCACAGGCGCCCAGCTGACGAACTACTTCTCGAGGTGGGAGGTGCTGCCCCCCTGGCGCGGCCCACAGGGGTGGTGGAATGACCCCCCCCACCTCCCTGGCGCGGCCCATAGGGGGCCACGGATGGAAAGCCATGCGGGTGTGCGGTGATCAGGCCGTTCAGAGGCGCGCCTGCGCACACGTGGCAGCAGCGCCGCTTGCACACGCGCGTTAACGCGCGATGCGGGGCATGGGAAAAAATGGAACGGCACCGCCTTGGGAGGCACCTACCGCTCTCCTGGGATGAGAACGGGGACGTGATCCGCCGCTGGGGCATCAAGGATATTTTGGACAGGGCGGCGGTCGCGGTCGGGATCCATCCGCCCCGCATCGGGAGCCACGTCTTCAGAATTGGAGGGGCGACCGCCATGCACCACGCGGCCCGAACCTCGAGAAGCCCAAGGGGTTCGGGAGATCGAAGACGAGCGCCTTCCACGTCTATCTCCCTGAGGCCCATGAGCACCAGAGGGGGCTGGCGGAGGCCACGTTAGCTCAGCGGTGACAGCCTACCATCGTGAGCACCAATCGGATGCGGCAGGATGAAGCCCAGGGGAAGATCACGGAAGATGCGCGTCGCCAGGAAACCCTTGGGCGCGGAGGAGACACAGATCCCCGCGGGCAAGCTTACAGCCAGCGCCGCTTGAGGCCGGAATGCAGGCAGGTCAGCCTTAGTGGCATTATTGTTTCTAACAGTTCGGTTGCGGACCGCCATTCTGGGTCAGGAGCGCGTTCCGCTTAGTGCGAGCGGCGTATTCTGTCGGGTTTCGCAGCAGGTTGCGGCCCCCCTCCTCTCTTGATTATTTCCGCCACCCTCCCGGACTAGCCGGGCTTTGGTTGTTTGGACGCCCTTCATCGACTTTTTGCGGCGTAGCCGCGTTCTTCGAGAGACGGGCGGGCCGCGGAGCGTGGCCTCCCAGCCCCCCTCTAGTCTGAACGCATTTGGGAGGACCCGGGGGTCCCCTGGAGGAGTGATGGGTGGAGTGCACGCGGGCCGTCGCTCAAAACCGCCTCAGCAAGGAAACAGAGAGCGCGTCGGTCTCCCCACCTCCTTAGCCATACACGGAGCCGCGACAGCAATATGTTCCTGACCAGGCGCGCATGGAACTCCATGATTGCCTCCGTTGCGTATACGAATCCTTCCTCGTTTCCCTTTCTCTCTCCGCAGCCCTTTGATATCAGGCCTCGCCTGTGTCTCCCGCCCACCCTACATAGATGCTCCACCCCGACAGGGTGGGTAGAGCACACGCGGAGCGTCGGTTAACACCGCCTCAGCCAGGAAATGAAAAAGCGCGCCTCGGCCTCCCCCCCTCCCTTTCGTATCACACGGTGCGTGCCGCGACGGCAGTCGTATCTGCGTCGTGCAAACTACAGCGCTCGTACAGCAGAAGCGGCGTCGGGCGGCCACAAGCCAGTTGGACCAGCGCACAGTCCTAGTTGCGAGCCGCGCGCAGTCAAGACCGTGACCAAAATGGAGCGGCGGCGACGGGCGGACACAAGCCAGCCAGACCGACGCAGGGGCCAATTTGTTCATCCGAACAGGAAGAACCCCTGAGTGCAAGCACTGTTTAGGGGAACAGCGAAGGAGAGGAGGAGAAGGAGTAGGAGGAGGAGGACCAGGGGAGAAGGGAAGGAGACCAGACCTACAACGTCCTGAAAGATCAAGACGGTGGAGGATCGGCCTTCTGAGCATC